CATGTCAATACTACTATCTCAATTTGTCCTGCCCTGTCCTTCCCCCGCACCGTGTCCGTAAGTCCATTCTCTACATCTGTGTGTCTATTCCTGTCCTGCAAATTGGTTCACCGGTACATTTTTCTAGATTCCATACATATGCGTTAATTATACGATATTTGTTTTTATCTTTTTGACTTACAAGTCATTGCTTTCTTAATAAAATTATATTATTGCCCATTTCTAAGAGGACAATCCAGGCAGTTTTATAAATATCAGGATGGAACCGGCCAAAATACAATTGTTTACACAAAAGCCCAAAGTGCCTTCAGCATCTGAGGCATTTGACTCCAGAGGCATGCAGCAGAACAGCCCAGCCCGAAGGTCCAAGGCACGCAAGAGCCAAGTGGCCTGTCGTGGCCCTCCAAGCAGCTTGACATGTCACTCTCCTCAAAAACGCATGCCACTTGTCATGACATTCTGAGTGCTATACGTTGCATCACGTGTATATAGTTACAGTTTCAAATATAATTTATGATCAAACCAGTCACGAACGGGGGATGAATGAGCAAAGAATATAAATACATACTGGGTTCTGCCTAATTCCTTTTAAGCCTGTGGCCAAGCGGTACTCTCTGGTTCCCAGCCTCTCCCTTTCTCTCTGACCAGCCACCACTTAATATCGTTTAAGTCAATAATATGGTTATGAAGTCCCCATTCATAACTCAAAATGGCTGTGTACTTTGAGACTCAGAGCTAAAGCAAAAGACGAGTGTGGAGCTATTTTCACCCGGGGAACAGAGTATATGATTCATTAGTGAAAATTCTCATATGGTTTTTTGGTAAGATGAGGTATAATTGCCCAAAGCCCATAAACCAAGACCTTAGTAGGATTACTTAACACTTAAACTTCCTCAATAGTGAGACTAAAAAGTCAATACTGATCCTCCTAAAAATGATCTGTTAACACGAATTAAAAGTCTAAAGAAGGTGCATATCCTGTGGGAAACAGACTTATAAGAAAGAATCAGGGATGCTGTCCCCAAATACAAAACAAAAAGTTTAATATAAAAAGAACAAAACAAAATGAAAAGTTAAAAAAAAAAAGAATCAGGGATGCAGACAAAAATTTAAATATGAAGGTCCTTATCAAAGTATGTTTATAATAGAGAAAATTTGGAGAAAAAAAAATCTAAGCATCCCATAATAAGAAAATAAAGTATGGTCTCTTTATGTGAAGGTATATTATGCAGTCATAAAAAGCATGTCAGGAAAATTCTAATATCAATACACTGAAAATGAGCAGTCATGAGGAGAAAATTAAAATATTAAATTTTATATATACTACAATCCTGATAATATAATGTTTGGGCACAGAATAAATACTGAAAGAAAAAACTGCAAGTTACATTGGTAGTTTTGTCTGGGTGGTGCTGATTCTGTTTTCATCACAATATTTTTCTGTATTTTCCACAATGTCCACAGTAATCTTGTATTAGTCTTATAATCATAAGCATAATACACAGAACAAATTAAAGATATATCTGGATCATACAAAGCACTGCACTAGATATAAAGCTGGGGAATAAAAGCTGCTCTGTTAATGTAACTTTTAAAGGAATGGTCCCTACATCAGCATCATACAGAAACTCAGAAACTCTCAACTATGTAAATTACTGATGGGCTCTAGGATCTTTGACATGTAGACTACTCAAGATCTTTCAAAGATCTTTACTCCTGTGCTAAGGACATATTCTCACTGACAGAGGCTTACAGAATCCCTTTGCTGGTATTCATCTGCCTGTCCCATAAAACATGACCTAGCAAGTCCCCTTCAGCAATTCTGAAAGAGGGACAGAGGGCCCCAGGTAATATGATGCACCCAGAGCGCGTCTGCAGCTCTGACAGGTGCAAACAACGCCTCTCATCTAAATATAAATGGACTTAGGCAGTTTGGAAACAGTCTTTCCCACTTTCTATTCTGATCAAGCAAAAGAATGCTCTCTTCTTTAGTTCTGACTCTCCACACTGGTTATTTTTTATTTAGATTCACTTTGCAATCACTGAAATTCAAAGAGAAGCAATGTTAGAACTCTAAGACGACAGAAAGAAAGAAAAGGATTTCCAAAATCTTGTGTATTTGAACTGTTTTTGAAATTGTTAAGTTGAGGAGGAGATAAGGCATTAAAAACATTTTTTTAAGTTTTCTGGATGAGCAAAAAAAACTGATGTTAACACATGCAGAAGGAAACACTATCTAGTATTTAAGCCAGAAGGAGGATCTAATTTTTAATCAATGGAGTGGAAATTCCTTGGTGGAACATATAGAAGAACTCTGTGCCATTTCCAATTCCTGCCATTCTCTCTCCCATTACCCTTAAATGTTTTCTCCCCCTTCAGGATCCTGCTCAATGGTCACTTCTCAAAGGTCAGCCTTCTCTAACCTTACCCTCTTTCCTCTCCACCACTGTCTTAGCTCCCCAGAGATCTGCCTTTTACACGTTCATTCCACATCATTATTTGTCAGTTTAAGAGCTTCTTGAGAGTAAGATAATATATCACTAATTTTTCCATTTCCAGCACCTAGGCTTAAGTTAGTTAATAGTGCACTATAGAATGAATGAACAAATGTGTAAGACATAACTGAAAAAAGTCACAGATGAACCCAAGTGCAAGAATAAGGCAGAGCTACCACTAACAACCATGAAAAAGCTCAGTTTATGGCAAAATGATCATTGGCTATGCTTAGCCACTGGCCTCTTGGTTTATTTGGGGGAGGAGGATAGGCTTATTAAAGAAAATTAAGGCTATAATTCAATGTCAGATATTAGAAAAGTAACTTGGTAAGCATTGACTAAAGGGTTGAAGTTTTCCATTTTCAGCTTCACTCTTTGTTGCTAGAAAATGAAAGTGTGAAGCACGATTGTCTAAGGGCCAGTCCAGCTCTCTGGGGCTCGGGACTGATGTGAATTCTCCTGGAACAGTTCTCCAGAGCTTGCAACCCAGCTCTATTCCAATCTCAAAGACTGTGCTCTTTTCAAACTCTTAGATGCCACACTCCTACCTACCAAAACTGTGGTGTGCCACAACTAAGTTTAGCCCCACTCTCCTGGTCTGAAATAGTCACCTAAACCACAGGGGAAATTATTACCCATGATTTCCTAGATCTATGTAAGGAAGATGCTTCCAAACCCAAATGCTATAAAATTGTATTTACTTGTCCCAACTCCTTCCCACTTGGGTTCAGATCACCCTTTGCCTGCATATGTTTTGCAATACCTGTTGGCTCTTTATCTCTGCCCACTCCTCTAGCATGCTCCCTCCACTTGAGAAATGTAGGCAGCACTTGGCTTCATAAATTTTCGAACTTCTCATCAGCTAATAAAAGGGTGTTTAGAGTTGGCAAAGGAATTATTGCATAGGAATTTTATTTGCCAACTGCCTACCAATAGTTAATTTCCCAGGTGGTCCTTAATTAGATTTATCCACTGAAAGAGAAGAGGACTAATGATCAGCCTTCAGACCTGAAGACTGAGTCTGAGGAAGCTCTCTATAGCACCGAAGACTCCAACTGCACTATTGTAATGGACCAGCATTTTCGTCTTACATTCCTAGTAAAATTAGAAGCTGCTTTTAAATCTCTTACAGCAGAAATTCCCATATGCTATGGTCAACATAATGACTTTTTATAAAGCTAAATATATGCAATATGAAGGACTAGCCTCTACTGTGAGATTAGGCCCTTCCTGTATTTTGTTGTTGTTGTTAAAGAGTGTGTGCATGTGTGCTCGGTAGTGTCCAATTCTTTGCAAACCCACGGGATTCTCCAGGCAAGAATAGTGTATTTCTTCTAAAAATAAAAGGTGGTAACAGAAGACGGTAGGACTTGTTTATGTTTTTACTTGGCACTTTAAAAAGCTGGTAATCCTATATTAATTTCCAAAATTCAGTAAAGCTGGGAAACTGCGATCCTCATCCCTAAAGTGGTTAGCTCAGAGCTGATCACCAAGGAGATGATATCTATGACTACATACATGCATATTTAAATTGATCTCATAGGGGTGGAGGGGCTTCTAAACTCTATTCTAAACTCATCATTCTCTACAGATCTCAAGCTGAAGCACAGAGATCAAGGAGGCCCTGTAGATAAAGGCTGAATCCGTTCATACAGATTCAAGTCAGGTAGTTTCCTCGGAAATATACCTACCTGAGAAACCCTCAACTATATATGCAGTATTCTGAGATGGGGATTGGTCCTTTGCCTCAACTTTATTAAAAGGATTTTATTGTATTCCAGTCACAAGGAGACCCGGACCGTGATGGGCACAAATCAAGCGTTTAGTAATTATTTTCAACAGTATCCTAGAAGCTGGGGATACTGATCCCGAAAAGGCTCCACCTAAGGCGGAGGGAAACGCATTTGGCATTCTCTCGGGGCTCCTCTGGGCTCCACGTGTAATGGGGGAACTAGTGGTCACCTGTGAACCCCGTGACTGAAGAGTAAGACAAAGGCGGGGCCGGCGGGACGGGTGAATGCCACTGCAATCCCGTCCGCGCGCGTAGGGTGACTTTGCCCGGCGAGGACTTTGCCTAGGGAGTGGGAACTGTGCCAGGCACCGGCGTCCACCCCTCTGGCTGTAACGGGATGCTGTGCAGCAGCCAAGTGCCTCTGCCCCCTGGCGCCCGTTCCCCCGGCTTCGGATAAAATTATGACCCACCGCCCCCTTTCCACCCCCTGGAACCCGGCCCTATCGCTCTGGGCGCGCAGCCTATCACGTGGCGCGGCGGTGCTCCGGCGGGACTGTGGCTCCGCGGTCATTGGTGGACGGCGCGCGTCCCGGGCGCGCCCATTGGCTGTGGGGGGCGTTCACGTGAAAGGGGGGGGGGGGGGTCTGGGAAGGCGTCCCGAGTGGGGAGAGGTGGCCTGAAAGTTAAAGGGAGCCGCGCGGCGGCTGGAAGCTAGAGTCCCAGGTGAGGGGCCGCAGGGAGGAGGCGGGCGGGCTGCTCTAGCGCACGGACGGATGCGGCTGCCCGCGGAGGGCGCCCACCTGAGCCCCGGCCCCCGCTCCTGCTGTCGCCGCCGCTGCCCCTGCCACCCTGGGGCGGATGCTGCCGCAGGCTGGCGCCTCCGCACCTCGGGGCTTATGAGCTGTACCAGGTACGTCCCCCACCAAGCCCGCAAGGCCCGATGCCTGGCCGCAGAAAAGGCGACGAGCGCACGCATCAGGGACCCTCTCTGGTTCCTGCCTCACACGCTTTCTCAGGCCAGCTTGCAGTTACACTCTGGGCATGGGACACTCAAAGGGCTCAAGGAAACTTGCTTCCTCGTGCAGAGGGCAATGCAGGGACCAGAGGTTGGATGGAGCCTGGCCGGACCCACGTGATGCACCGAAGGGGGTCCTGGCCACTATGGGAGGCTGGGGCTGGGAGTCCAGACCACTCTGGGTCCCTACTGTGCCGAGTTCGAACCTGACACTAGGCTTTTCCGGCTGGGAACCGACACTCCTAGAGCTGAGCCCTGGGATCTTGAGCACACGGGAAAGTCGCTGCGTCTCTCACCCCGCCTCGACTTCCCGTTACAACGTAGGGAAACACACTGGGTGATCTCTCGGGTCGCCGAGGGCTACGAGACACGGAGCGCACCGGCGGCTGGGGCCACCCGGAGCCGAGCCACCTCGGGTCCCCAGCCCCCAGACAGGCCGTCCTGGGCCGGCGGGGTCGAGGTGGCCGCGCGGGGACGCTCTCGCGGCGCCTCTTCGCCCGGGGTGGCCCCGCCGCCCCGCCCCGGTGTGATAACTAGGGCTCCTCCTCCTTGTCGTCTTCCTCCCCCTGCCGGTCACAACTCCGGGAACCCAGCCCAAGCCCTGCCTCCCGGACACACACCGGGGCTCACGTAGTCCGGTGGCGGCAGCCTCCCTGCCACCTCCCTCCGGGTTCTCCGATGCGGCGAGCCAGCTGGAAAGGGGGCTTCCCCGCAGCCCCACAGGTGGGTTCCCGCTCGGCGAAGGATCTCAGGGAGGGTTTGGGGGCGGGGTGCAGCCCGGGCCTGGCTGGACCCAGGGGGCAGTGACCTGGGGGATCTTCGAAGCCAGGACCCCCTGGCCTGCCCGCGTGTCCTGTTTCTGCCACCCTTTTGAGTCCAGAGAAAGAGGTGTGGAAGCGACTCAGTGCAAAAGAGGGAGCAGAGAGCCCAGAACATACTAGAAGGTTTGGGCTCTCTTCTGGTATTGTTTACTGCAGAAGAGGAGCAAATTGAGAACTTGGAGAGTTGCTAGAAGATGTTGGGGCCTGTGGTCTGTGTGGCCAGGCCTCCCTGGGAGACCCACGGTCCAGGAGAAGGGAGAGGAAGGCCTTCAGGCTGGGGTGCAGAGGAGAAGAGGAAATGCTTCATTTGGCAGAGTTGTCCAGGAGCCAAGACTAAAGTGAAGACAGCTGGAGGATTTACCCCAAAAGTAAAGTTGAGGTATTTAGGGAAAAGTTAGTGGGAAGAGAAGAACCATCAGGCAGTATCAGCAACCCAGAATGTCAGAGCTCAAAAGGGATCTCAGGGGAGAAGCTGAAGCCCAGAGAGGTTGAGTAATTTGCCCTGAGTGCCACAGCGACGTGTAGGCATTCCTAGGCCAGTGCGCTGTATTTCATATTGGACACTTTTAGATGCGGACATTGTGCCATTTTAACTTATCTCTTGTCTGTAATATGCAACCTCATCCACAGATACTTATCTCAGAGATGCTTTGGATGGCAGTGACAGAATAGAGAAGTCCAACTGGCATCTAGGGCTGCGAATAAGGGCCCCATGGTCAGAGTACCAAGGGAAAGATGCCAACTTTGTTCACACTATGGCAGCCAAACCTTTTGGGAGCAAGCAAATAGAGAAATGCCAAAAGAGTAGGTGGCCACATCTTTAAAACAAAAATTGTACCTGGTAGCTTGGTTGTGAATGCTTACCTTCACAATGTAACTTCAGTGTTCCTGGTGAGTTATTGGTGCGTCTGATATTTCTGTCTTTTCTTATCACAGTGCAAGAGAATGGGGGAGGCAATGTGTTGGCCTCAATACAGAAGAAAAAGATTTGCTTTCTATAAAAGGCACAGCCAGAGAGTCAGTAGTTCAGCTGCTTGAAACTGTGAAGGTTATAGGGTTATTTTCTGTACAAGTTGATAGATTTTAGAGAAAAATCACCATGACATGTAACCCTTGCCAGCTGTCTTGAGAGGGTGTGTTGTTTTTCACCAGTGGAACAGGAAAAGCTTTTATGCAAAACTCTCCATATTCTCTCTAATTTGCATGGAGTGTTAGGGTTTGTCTTCTTTTTGACCCGAAACCCTGAAACGTACCTTTAGACACGTCCGGTCTCTCATGGGGCAAGACTGATCTCCTAGGCATCTATTTGGAAGCAAACGTTTTGAGAATCCCTGCTGGTCTGAGCAACAGCTATTCACAGTCTCGTGACCTTGTCCTGCAAAGAACTGGTATCCAGTTCCGATGTCATCTCTGCTGGTTCAGTTGTGTGTCCACATCTTCTGTTTGTTTGTTTTTTTCCCTGACCAACCTTGGTGACTCATATTACCTGGCTTGGGCGAGGGAAAGGGCAGAGCTCCCAAAGAGTCTGTCAGAAGAGAGGGTGTGAGTACAGCCCAACGCATCCTGTGTTGGAACTGATCATTTTCATGCCATTTAAGGATTAAAACACCTGTCCACGTGCCTGCCTTTCAGGGACTTAGGAAGCTCTAATTACCTTGCGTGTCTCCAGTGACAGGAGTGCGTCTGGGTGTTGGTCATCGTGGTCAGGGTCCATCAGGGAATTTCTGAGTAGGTCAGGAAGGCTTCCACCAAACCAGCACTTCAGTGCACCAGTTCTTGGAGAATGATCTGAATAAAAACTGGAAGCTACCTGTGGGGACAGACAAGGGAGCCAAGAGTCAGACTGCACCCTCTGTTGAGGCCACAGGCATTAGTGACCTCCCCTCCAGCGCTGGCAACACTGAAAAAGTGAAGGGATTCTGGGCCGGAGTCCAAGAGGAACGCCTGGGCCCCCACGTGGTTCACCTTCCTTTTGCCGTTCATGGAGAAAGTTGCACAACCAATTCCACTCTGGAAAGTACCAGTGGAATTGTTTAATTCCAGTCCACAGTGCCAGTGGAGTCTGGCTCTGACTCCAGCCTCACCTCCTCAACCCCCCATCCCCCTGTTCTTAAAGCCCGGTGATAAAAGGGATCCCAGGGGTACATTTATACCTCTGGGTCCAAATACTGAAACTTTACCAATGCTTTCAACTAAGCCTCTCTAACCAGCGGGGTTAGAACTTGAGAGCAATTGCCGTCGACTACAAGTGTGCAGTTGCTGTCGCTGATGCCCTTGTGTTAGAATTCTGTTTCCACAATATTTTGAGAGCTCCCCAACCATTTTCTAATGATCTGTTTTAAGGTTGTGCGGGAAAGCATGTATGAGGGTGGTTTGCAGTCTTGCTGGACGCATGTAGAGAGCCTGCAGTTGACCTTGTGCTGACTCAGGTCAGGAGGAAGCTGCTCTGGCCAAAGAGGAACCCCTCCTCCCTTAGTTCATACCCAGGTTGTCAGGGGTGGGCAGAGGAGGAGGGGCTGGGATGCCCGGCTTTGCCTGCTGTTTGGTTATTTTTAATTAACAATTCATTCAAAAAACAAAAGCTACCTGTGTTAAAAGTAGAGCTGAAAATGTGATTCCAATGCATTCTAACAGAGTTTTGCAGTGAACAGAGGAAAAGAAAACTTGAATTACTTTTTAGGTGTAGGGTTTTTTGGTGTTTGTTTTACATTGAACCCCTCAGTGAACCCACTGACTTTCTTTTTTTTTTAAGTTGTCTTGCCCAGTTCAGTCAGAACTTGCCTTTCCAGAACAATTGCATGGGTGTAAACAAATATAATAGCCAGTTTGCTCCGAAATTTTTCACTTGTTTCACTTTGTTAGAGGAGAAACAGTAACACAGATATCCTTTAAAATGCATCTTGATGGCTACATTCTGGCTATAAATTAAGATAAGAACATTTAGAAATGTTGGGTCGTTTCAGACTAATATAGTTACTTGTGTTATTATTGTTTTGTCTCTGAACGTGTGGGTTTCTCCACTTGTTCATCACTAAATGATTCCTGCATCCCGAGGAAGTGCTATTTTTTTTGTTTGTTTTGGAAAATGGGATCAAACCCAATATGTCTTCATACTTTCTCACTTTTCTTTATGTATTTGATCATCGAAATCAGAAGCTGCGGAGCAGATATTATTTATGGGTCTGATATTGTTTGTGAGACCAGTGATCTCCACTCTTGTCAGAAGATGAGCAACAGTTTGCCAGTCTTTGTCCTGAACTACCATCATCAATCCACAGCAGAGCACCCCTCCCGTGGAGGGGAGATTAGGGGAGGCCTAAGAGTTGGTACCCCAACATACCACCACACACTATTGCCACACTAGAGCCTTTGTCATGAGGGAAGATGTGATTGGCAACTAATTCAGACCCTGTGTTCTGTGATTCTCAGACCAGAGATTTTAATCCAGATTTCATCACTGACTTCTTCAGTTAGCCTTTTGGAACTGTCAAATCAGGATATCAATTTGCCATGGTAATTCGAAATTCAAATGGCTGGGCTCTAGTGTGGAAATAGTGTTGGGTGAGTTTTGGCAAATCTTAAGATATCTGAGATGTTTTACTATATTCATTCTGTTTTCTTGGTTAGAGAAGTTCTATTATTTTAGAAAAGATAAGACAGTACAAAGCAGGAAAACAGAAATCTCCTGAAATCCCATCACCTTGATATTTTGACAGTTTTAAGTATATCTCTAGTCTTTTTTCTGTGCATATATGTAATAATTTTGCCCTACAAGTCTAGTCTGTCTGTATAATTTTATCTTCTCCATTTTTTACATTGAAAGTGAAAGTGAAAGTCGCTCAGTCATGTTTGACTCTTTGTGACCCCATGAACTGTATAGTATAGACTGGACTGTATAGAATTCTCCAGGCCAGAATACTGAAGTGGGTAGCCTTTCCCTTCTCCAGGGGATCTTCCCAACCCAGGGATCGAACCCAGGTCTCCTGCATTGCACATGGATTCTTTACCAGCTAAGCCACAAGGGAAGCCTAAGAATACTGGAGTGGGTAGCCTATCCCTTTTCCAGCAGATCTTTCCAACCCTGAAATCAAACCAGGGTTTCCTACATTGCAGGTGGATTCTTTACCAACTTAGCTATCAAGGAAACCCATTTTTTACACTAATCATATACTATGAATTTTTATGCCTTTTAAGTCTTTTTTACAAATAATGATTTTAATGATATAAAATTATATCACATGAATATAGTATATTTGATTTAATTGGCTACCTGTTATTGGTCATTTAGTTTATTTTCTCACATTTCCCCCTCCACTTAATGTTGCATTGAATAATTTAATACATTAATCTTCATGCATTTTAAATTATTCCCTTAAGTTTAACACCTGTATGTGATATAAGAACCCAAAAGTATAAGATTTAGAAATTTTGTGCCATTTGGACTAATACAGATATTTGTATTATCTTTTAAAATTCTTTCCTAACTCATTAGGTAAAAACAGGCACTGTTTTCTAATCTAAATTTCTTAAATTACTTACAAGCTTTGACATTTTGCATATTTATGAGCCACTTTTAAATTTCTTCCATGAATTGTCTATTTGTGCTCTTTGCTCATTTTTCTACATGGAATATTTGACTTTGTTATTATTTTATAAAACCTCTTTATATATTAAGGTATTAACACTTTGCTGCCATGCTTTTTGGAAAATATTTTTCCCAGTTTGTCTTGTTTTTTTTTGTTTTACTTACTTTATTCCCTTATACAAAAAACATTGTTTTTATGAAGTCAGATTCAATGTAATCTTTAGCATGATTCTCTTTGCTTTTTATTCTTATAGAGGCTGTTTTCACTTTAGAAAAAAACAATTATTCGCTGATACAAAAGGTTTAAAAATACTAAATTGCTGGCCCTTTTTAAAAAACATACTGGAATATAAAAATCGACTGTACATTGAATGAAGACAGGTTGGGGGTCTGTCTTCACTACTGCATCCAGGGTCTGGCATCATGCCTGGCACAGAGCAAATGACAATCAGTATTTGTGGGATGAATTAGTTTCTTTTTATTGGATGAGAGCAAACTGTGCTCAGCAAGGTGTGCCACAAAAAATGGAGGCTTCCCTCATTAGGAATAAGTTTTGGAAATTCCACAAACAGCATGCTCTTTTCATTATTCCCCACAATCATCAGTGTACTGAAGGCCTCAAGAAGTCCTGACAGGGAAGCCTGTGAACTGGTTTTAAGACCAGTGGTTCCACACTTCTTTGGTTTTAACCTGGGTCCTCTCCCCCAGCCCACCCTCCACTTACACTTTTAATCTCCCCTGAAACCATGGTCACACTGGACCACCCTTGAGTTAACAATGAGCTGTGGCCACGTGGGCAGAGATGAAGGCAAACGCAGCTTGCCGGTCCCTGTTGGAAGGATGAGTCTGAACGTGTCTGACCTCCTTTCTGTTTTGTCTTTCTCCTTGGTCAGGGTTCTAGCGTGTTCCTCTAGTCCCGTGATGGCCGTGGACATCGAGTGCAGGTACAGCTGCATGGCCCCCTCCTTGCGCAGAGAGCGGTTCGCCTTCCAGATCGCCCCGAAGCCAAGCAAACCTCTGAGGCCTTGTATTCAGCTGAGCAGCAAGAATGAAGCCAGTGGGACAGTGGCCCCCACGGTCCAGGAGAAAAAGGTGAAGAAGCGGGTGTCCTTTGCCGACAACCAGGGGCTGGCCCTGACGATGGTCAAGGTGTTCTCTGAGTTCGATGACCCATTAGATATTCCACTGAACATCACCGAGCTCCTGGACAGCATCGTGAGCCTGACCACAGCGGAGAGCGAGAGCTTCGTCTTGGATTTCTCACAGCCGTCAGCAGACTACCTGGACTTCAGAAATCGGCTTCAGACCGACCACGTGTGCCTGGAGAACTGCATTCTGAAGGACAGGTCCATTGCAGGCACCGTGAAGGTGCAGAACCTTGCGTTCGAGAAGACGGTCAAAGTCCGGATGACCTTTGACACCTGGAAGAGCTTCACAGACTTTCCCTGTTGCTACGTGAAGGACACATACGCGGGTTCAGACAAGGACACGTTCTCCTTTGACATCAGCTTGCCTGAGAAAATTCAGTCTTACGAGAGGATGGAGTTCGCCGTGTGCTACGAGTGCAATGGACAGATGTACTGGGACAGCAACAAAGGCAAAAACTATAGGATCATCCGGGCGGAGCTGCAGTCTACCCAAGGAACAGCCCAGCCGCCAAACGGACCAGATTTTGAAATAGCCTTTGATCAGTTTGGAAGCCCTCGGTGTTCCTACGGTCTGTTTCCGGAGTGGCCTAGTTATTTAGGATACGAGAAGCTTGGGCCGTACTACTAGTGACAGCCTGGGATGGAGCCGGGCTCAGTGGGCGCAGATGAGCCAAGCTGCAGTCATCCTGGGGTGGAGATGGAAGCCGAGAGAAAAGCTGAACTGCCATCAGACACAGTTTTGAAAATAACGATCCTAGTCACTTTTCTCCTTCAGTCAACCAAGACAGCCAGGTTTAGATCACAGAACTGGGTTCACGCTTGGAGGAGATGGCTGTGCTGGTCCATTTGGCAATGAGGGTCTGAGCAGGATGATGCTTTAAAGGGTCTGGACAGGACCCGGGCTTGTGGGCAGCCCTGGCCGGGCCAGAGGATGTTGGCTCAATGATAAGGAGTCCCTCTCCTCTCAGGTGTGGGAAGTCAGTCCCCTGGCAAGTCCTCCGTCCTCCCGTGTCCCCTCTTCTGGGGGTCTTCGCCGCCCAGCCAGGGCCTTCTCACCTGTTGCAGGTGCCCTGTGTCTACATGGGCTTCACACTGTATCTTTGCATTTTTGTGCACTTGGTTTTCTTCCACAGTTCAGCTGATGTTCAGGAAAAGATGATACGGGCCGATCAACTTGTGATGGAGACGGGCATTTCCTCTTTCTGACCCCACTTTGACAGCCCAGCAGAGGACGACACACCAGCTATGGGAAGTCAGCTGGTTCCTGGGTGGTGTCACCAGCGGTGCACTAGGCTGATGCCAGCAGGACAGGCATGAGTGGGACATGAGCTTCTCCTCTTGGCTTTGGGGGAGCTTTCTAAGCCCTCACTCTTACCCTGAGTAACCGGACAGCTTGGTTACAAGACTTGTTGTAACTTGCTCAGCTGACTTGCCCGTGTCTCTTTCTTCACAAAAGGATTTTAGAATCTCTTTTCCTGGAGAGTCATCATTTATGCCGTGTTTGGGATGTTTGGATTTGCAGATTCAATATATCCTCCACACCTCCAGAAAACATTTGGTTGTATTTTTACTGTGATTTACAACATCCACGTTGTAAACAACATTTTACCAGCCCCCACGGACTTTGATATGGTTGTTCTTATTTATGGTGTGTGGGTGTGGAAAGGGATGGGGAAAAAAACCTCACCAAGTTCTCAGATTTGATTTTTACTGTTTGCCAACTCTGAAATATCATAGACTCATTGTTCTTAACCATATTGGACTAAAGCATTACAAGTCTGTTGGTTCACACTGTTGTGAAATTCCTGGGACTTTCCTTGTCCAATGGATCCCCAAACCCTGTGATTTTTCTTGGGCAAGATTCATTGGTACTTGGGAATGTTTAAACAGTACTTTTATATGTGTGTTTGTAGAAGGTTTGGGTTTTGTTTTTATTTTTGGAACTTAATTAAAGGACCGCCTCGTTTTTCTTCTGCCTGATCTTACTAAAGTGAGGTCTTCCTAAGGGGAGGCAGGAGATGGGGTGCCCCACTCCCTAGATCTGGGGACACAGACCCTGGACTCTCAAGCAAAGAGTCGTCTTTTGCTTGCATTCTCCAGATCAGTTAGAAGAGACCTCCTGCTTTCTGTGGCTTTTGTAAATCAGCATTGAGCAGATCTCAAGTGTCTTGGCTCCTAGAGTTTTGTGGTTGGGTTTTTTTTTTTCTTTTCTTTTTCGAACTTTAAAATGTTTTGATTTTTTAAAATGCTCTTAAGTGGTGTTCCACAGAGTTCTTATCCCTAAAACTGGCTGTGATTAGTCTGCAACCTAGTGCCTTATTTTTTATGTCTCTCCCAGGTGGCCAGCACTGGGGGATTACATACTAATGTAATTTAAGGGACAATCACATTTTTTTCTTATGCCGACATTGGGCAGAACTGGGTTTTATCTAAGCATGTCTTACATCTAGTACACAGACAAGATTCTCTATGTTACAAATCTGGTGATCAGAATTGTTATACAAGAGAGTAAATCTACACCATTTGGAAGCAAACCTAATTTTATACGGGTCATGAATTTATTTTGCTTTAAGAAGTCCCTTCCCTCCTCCTGCAATTTATGGAAGGTACAAAGTATACTGTCATTTCCTTATGACCACATCCTTCTCTGTTAGTAAGAAAAATGACTCAAGTGACTTCTGTATGGTTTTAAGTCATTGTGATCTGAAGGCATTCCCATGTCAAAATTTGAAATATGGTAATTCAGTGATAAGTATCTCTTTCAAAACGACCACAAACCCTCCCCCTACCCTTCTTTCCTCCCAGCTCATCCCAGCTTTTCTGCTGGGGGCACTGGTTGCAAACCCCCTCACCAGTGCACCTGGGTTGCTCACCCCACTGGGCAAGTCCTAACCTGCTGGCAAAGAAAGACCCTTCTCTGACTAAAGCAAGTGCCTGCCCGAGCTCCCTGGCAGCACTGTCAGGCAGTGAGGTTTCAGCCTCTAAAGAGAACTGTCTCCTCTTTACCAGTCAGTCTGTCTCCTCTTGGGCTTCCCACATGGCGCTGGTGCTGAGGAATCCACCTGCTAATGCAGAGAACTTAAGAGAAGCTTGATCCCTGGGTTGGGAAGATCCCTTGGAGGAGGGCATGGCAACCCATTCCAGTGTTTTTGCCTGGAGAATCCCACAGAGGAGGTTGGCGGTCTACAGTCCATAGAGTCGTAAAGAGTTGGACACTACTGAAGTGATTTAGCATGCACACATGCTGTCTGCTTTGGGGCCAGTTCTCTTCCAGGATATCGACAGCTGGCCTCAGGACCTGCTCCCAGGGGCTCTCTCCTTGGTTCCTAACTCACCAGCAGGAATATGTCTGCACACTTCAGAAAGGGACAGGTTTCTTATCTGGAGACATGACTGCAGCTCAGCTGTCCAGGGGCGGGGAGGCAGCTTCATTTCTGTTTCATATTTATTCCCCCATGTGTTCTGGGGAGTGTTTGCAAATTAGGTGCAATAAATAAACTAGGTGCTCTAAAGATAGATTTTATACAATAAGCTTTCAGTGTTTCTTGGAAGATGGCAGCATTTGGGCAAGATTGCTTGTTTTTTTCCTCAAGTGTTCTTGTTACAGGTGAGAAACAGTGAAGTTACCTAGTTCTCCAGAGATTAAAACAACTTCAGAGTCAGGGTGGGGTGTATTTTCTAAGGTTGAATCTGAACGGTGGCAAAACATTACTCTTTTCAATGTTTTCTGAAGATGTAAATTTTAAACTGCTAAAAGAATGTTTTGTGGTTTTGATCTTTGCCTATAATTTGACATTTTTAAAAACAAGCGTTACTTGTAGCCACTGGGATACTAAATGACTTCTATATATATATGTGTGTGTGTGTGTGTAAACCCCCCAAAAGTATTTGCTCACTTTTCAGAAGTGCTGTGGGCTAGGGTTTCCCTCTCAATGGACAGTGAGTGAAAACTTCAGTGTCCTTCCTTCAAAGCCCTTGACTGGATGTGATTTGCTAGAGAAAGCACCATGGCTTCTGCCCTGGGAGGTCCTGATGTCCTCATCTCTCCTGAAATGACCACAGACATTGGGGCCAAGATGTTATACTTACAATGTGATCTCTCAGGTCATCTGAAGACAGTTTGCCAGCGTATCTTCACCTCCTGAAGTGGGACGCATCTGAACGGGAAGGACAGACAGCTGTGCGGATGGGCAGCTTTTCCTTGTTAGGGTTGTAAGCATTGGAGCGCAAGTTGTAAAGCTGTGGATGCTTTGAGTCCTGTTTATCAGTTTCTAGAGTCGGCTGGACCTGGGAGGACTCCAAGAACACAGCTGTGATGGTGGCAGTCCACTCTTCTATGTGAATGTAGAACCGGAGACTCAACTTCATTTTCATGCCTAAAAGTGCCTTGTCGAGAAAGTTCCACAGGTTTTTAAAAAAAAAAAATACATATTTTTGTACACAAAGGGGAAATGCACTTTAAAAATCACAAGAATGGATGCCTTGTGTGTGGTATAAGAGAGTGGTTTGTTTGGATCTCAAATGCAAAAATGTAATAAAGGTAGAAAACCCCAAATGGAAAGTGTCCTATTTTAAAACTGACTCTCTTAGAGTCAGAGGTTGGGGAGTAACATTTTCAGTCAGTGTGTTTCCACATATAGAAAGCCAGTTTCCAAAAGGGCTAGGACACAATCAGCGGCTAAGCTGAAAAGCTGGAAGATGCAGAGAAAGGAGTAATTGCTTTTTAAGCTGTTAAAGCAGCCAAGGCTGATTACAACGAAGAAAAGGATTGCCAGGGAAGAGGCAGAGGGGCCTGAGGTGTTATGAATCATTTTTAATGATCTGAGGGCAGGTCTCTTCCTACCCTCTCACTTGCTCTCGAAGAGTATTTTTGATTTAGTGTATGCAACAGTGGGAAAACTAATAAGCAGCTATCATAACTTTGAACTGCTTAATCAGACAGACTTTGCAACCAGCAAACCACACAGCGCCTAGTGGGGCCCTGCCTCCATGGGGTGCAGGACATTCACCCTAAGTAAGAGTTCAGAGATGTTTTATTTCAAAGTTCAGAAGATGGGATGCCGGTGAGGTCAACTGCTGCCAGATGTTTTCTGCCGATCAGTCTCAGCTGCAGGGGAAAGGCAGCGGTGGTTCTGCCGTAGAAAGAGCATTTTCAGTCTTAGCACCTGGTCGATAAGTGCCCAAAGTGAGCTACAAGCATAGCTGTCTTTCTCAAGCCTGGCAAACACTGCCCACGTTTTGGCTTTCCAGAAATAAGGGGAAAAAAATAACACTCATTTTTATGAATGTCGACTCGAGATACAATGTGGTTTTCATAATCATTACATAATTCTCATTTGTGAGACAGACATTCAGGAGGTGTCTAGAGTAAAAAGGAAAGAAAAGCCAAACCACTTTTCTAGAGCAACGTCCCCAGAATAGCAGATATCCAGCTCTGTGAATAATTCAGTGGAATATTTATTGCTCATGGGCAAGGCCATTTCTAGGTACTGTTTCTTTTTTTTCTTTTACTTCAGTTTTGGCAGTACCGGGTGCAGGGTCTGCGTTGCTGCATGCGGGCTTTCTCTAATTGCAGTGATCCGGGCTACTCTCTAGTTGCAGAGTATGGGCTTCTCACTGTGGTGGCTT